TCTTCTTCCACCGCCGCCGTCTCTTGATCCTCCACGTTCTTGCCGCAACTCCCTTGGCGTTCAATCCAAGGGAAGGGGTCGGGCGACTACGAGGGTTTCTGTCGGAAGACCTTGTGTGTTGAATCCGAGGGAGACCTCTCTGTGTGAGACAGTGCAGTGTCTGCCTTATCCCTGAATCCCGCGCTGCTCCTCCTCCCTAGTCTATTCTACGCCCATCCCGCCGCGTGTTCCTAAATAGTCGCGGCCAAGTCTGCGCTCAATCAAGTTGCAAATGACTCCTTCGGTGTTGGGTGTGTTCGCCCCCATGGCGGTTCTCGCGCGGCGGCAGCATTGGCCGGCCGTTGAGTGGCTATTAATAAGAAGCACAGCTGACGCACCTCGCTGAGAGTGTTTTTTTTACTTCGCTCCATACAACGCCGCATAGTACAAACCAACCCCCATCCCCCACGCCAACCGAAGACGGTTGGGAGCTTACGACGCCGACGTCGGAGCGGTGACGACGAGGCTGCTTTTCGTCGGAGTCACTATTAGCCATCGGGAGGACCTACAAGGCACAGGCAGCGAGCATAAACATTGTTCTGTTTTTATGGTCTCAGCTCTTTTCCGGAAAGCCTCTCCTCCTCGACTTTTTTTTTGTTCAGAGAGATTTCGCCTCTCTCCGGGCTTGTCTTTTTTTCGTTTGGGAGTTCGGCAGGATCACGCGTGTCGATTCCCCGCATCTCCGATGTGGATGTTCAGTCAAGTGCTCGAGTCGCTCCGAATTAGTGCGGTGTATGCGGATCTGAGCCTTTCGAACGTTCGTTTTTTTTCCGAGATTAGTCTCGCTGGGAGATGATTCCGTACCGACTCTTCGCAGTAGTGGCAACCGTCGTCACGTGGCAATTTTCTCATCACGGGATAGAATTTCCGACATTGCCACCACCAGCCCGTGATGATCATCGCAAGGAGGAAGGAGGAATGCGTGATTGGGCCTGAGCCGCGTGTAGGCCACCGATCTCGTTCAGGTACACATGCTGAGTGGGCAAGCGAAGCAAGTTTGTCGGAGTTCGAAGGGACTGCCGAAGCGAGATGAGGCTGCTGCCGTGGAGCACGCGACGGCGTGATAACCCGCCGGTTTGCCGCAACCACCAGGCAGAAAGGGAAAAATATCGGATAGAACGAGCATCAAATCAGGAAACGGAAACGTAGGCGCGTGACTTCGCAGAGACTCGCATTCATCTCGTTCGACGTATCTGGGCAGGGACAAGCGAGATACGAGGCTCTGTCACTCCGCCGTCTACATGGATGGTCCCTCTCCCAATCCGTGTCCTGATTCTCCATATTCCACTCCAGGAACAGAAACGTTCTTTACGGTCGCTCCTACTTCTTCCGTGTCCGTGTCCGTATTCGGACGATCCCCGACGATCGACTGCTCTCTGCAGCCTCGGAGAAGACGCCCCGTCGGCGTCGCTAAGGATGAACAAGGCCGAGCCATCGAATGGAAAAATCCAGCATCCGACTAGAGATGGCGAAAATTCTTTGATCTGGTCGGGCCCGCTGATGACAGAATCGGCTGAATTTCGTCGAATCCCCCCCCTCCTAGATTGTTGGAGATATAGCTTTGAATGGGAGAACTCTATCCTTGGGTCGTCCTGTCGGATTCCGCTTGCCCTGTTCCGGCTACTCTGGCTCCATCTGCCATAGAGCAAATGTACCCAGGAGGATCAAGGCTGTGTGGATCAGCCCGAAAAAGTTTTGGCTCCATCTGCCATGAGTTCCCGTTTGTAATCTGCCCGACACCTCGGGGAGTATGCGCAAGCGTATCGACAGGAGCCCTCGTGAATATCAGGCACTCAAAGGCTTCCACAAAAGGTATCAGCGAGCTCGCCCCGGACACGAGCCGGAGAGGGAAAGGAGCAGAACATCGAATGATCACGCTTGGGCATCGACAGTTGGGATGATGTGCGATGTGAGCGGGGCCAATAAAACGTCTTGCGTAGGAGAATACATAATACATAGGACTGTTGAAGAGCGTAATTCGTTCCGATGCTTGGAGCGAGGACCACAGTGTTCACCTACGCACCTATACAGCAAAGAAGGTGGGATGGAAAAGAAGAGGAAAGCCTGCGAAGGGAATCGAGCGCGATCGAGGCATGCAGAGACAGGGCGACGCCGACGGTCCAAACGACGTGCGTGGAGTGTCAACAAGACTCTAGAAGGAATCCATATATGTACCTGCACTCGAACATCGTCGGGTCGGGGTCCTCTCCCTTTCTGTTTCTCCCCCCTTCCAGATTCCATATCCCCTTCCTTGCCAGATCGTCAATATTCCCGTTGACAACAATCCGTGCTTCGGCAGGAGCGTCATCGTCGTAGGTCCGGAGCTTGTCAGACGGCGAAGGTATCCATGTCCTCCAATGGTTTGATGAGCCACAGCGTGATAGAGCGCGGCTTCGAGTCCGCGCCGCCGTGGCTGCCATGTTCCCCAACGGATGTCTGCAAACAAGCGCGCGGGTCCCCATAGATGTACATCTGTATGTTGTCGACGATGAGATCCGACAAATGAGAGACAAACGACGGGTTGAGCATTCTTATCGAATGAGTCGCCCCAAATCGAATGAACCCTTCGCTCAGACAGAGCGATGGGACTCTTGGGAGGCAAAAACGGAAAAGATTAAATATCCCATCGATTGCAGCCTAATCTGTTCGACGAGCGTGGGCCTATGGGCGCTAGCTCTCTTACACGCTTGCATAGATATGTACATACGGAGCCTCGTCCATCTCCATGTGCATATCAATCCTACTGGATCGCATGCTCCATTCATCCGCGCTATTGCACTCTGATGCACTACTGAATAAATCTCTCCAAGAATTGCAAGGGGTGTTTGTGCCTTCTCTGAAGACCCATTTCCTCTTCGAGGCTCCCGACAGCGAAGACGTCATCAGTCAAGTTCGCCGGTTCCTTTCTTCTCTACCTAAACAGCACGGAGCTCATAATCTATCGGAAAAATGAGTATATGTCTTCCGGGTTGTCGCTCCTCGACAGGAAATCCCGGGAAACGGCGGTGGCGCTGTTAGGTCGGAGGGGATCACACCCGCTCCCATGGACTGAAGGAAAATACAGTGTTCTCTTCTGTCAGACGACATGCTGTGTTTTATTTACTTGCAAAATTAAAGTTTGACCTTCCAACTTCCGTCTCTCTCCTGATTGCAGCTCTATGTACAATATATATTAAACCACGTTCTCTGTCCTCGTCGATCGTCGTCTGTCCTTTTTTTCGGGATCGAGATCCCCAGCTTTGAATGGCGTTACTATTTACAGGGTAGGAGATCTCTCAGCGTATCCGTTGCTGCCTAATGAATGAGAATCGAGTGGTAGAGGGTCCGCTCCCCAAGAGTCAACCGATCAATCGGGGGCTCAATTCTTATTTCAAGCGAGCAATCGATGAAGCAAGTCTTTCGTCCCTGATGAAAAGAGTTCCAGTCGAACTCATTGCTGCTTGGGACATCGTTGCGTTGAGAGTCCGGATCTGTTGTCGAGGTAGCCCGAGTCAGTGCGCCCAGACTCATTCAGAGAATTTATTTCCATTTGCGAAATTCAGCCATATCCTCCGCTCTCGGGGAGGCTCGAGGTCAAGGATTAAATTAGAAAAAGGTCATTCCTCCCGGGTCATCTTTCTTTCATTAGGATTCCCGTTCCCATCATTGCGATCTCCGAGTCAAGAATCTTGAAACAGTCACATCTGCCAGATGGTTCGTAAGGAAACTCAGCCATCGGAATTTATGAACAGCCTCGCAGAGCAAGTTTCCCGAGCGATGACCGCCACCGGAGCTTCGGCGAGGAGCAGAGCGTCTTCCTAACTGGGTCTCCCCGGAGCTCCATCGAGAGTTACCGGATTGAGAAAGCGTCAGATATATCACAATACCGCGACAAACTAAGGACTTGAGTTCCCGACCTTGGAGCCAGTCGTGAGAACGAAAGGTTCCACGGGGAGCCCGAAACTTCGCCCGGCGGACTGGATTGAGAGCGAGTCTCGATAAGCACGAGGCAATCACACACAAGGGAGGAGCTCCGGAGAAAGAGAAAAGGATCTAGGGCAGCATGAATTGACCCAAGTTGGTCTCTAACTGAGCGGGAAACCCGAATAAACCGTCGCTTTCGAAGCACAAGGTGGCCCACGGTTTCATTCGCTCGGGAAACTATCCGAAAGGCTGGTCAGGCTTCGCCGGGCTTTATTTTGGCACAACTGAAACGAGAGATTAAAGAGCGAGAAAACTCATTTAGATTCGTATGTATAATTTATGTATATATATATTTATACAGTCTTGACCCATGGCAGCAACAGACAACGCTTCATCCGGCAGAACACGATGGGACTCTCCACTTCATGCCGCAATACTATCTCTCAAACGGCTTGGACGTTCCTTCTCAGTCCAATGCACATACAGTCTCGGGACGATCCAGTCATTCGAATTCTCCAGGGTATTCACGGTTTTGCCATGAATCTATCTCGGGATCGAGATCGATGAGGAACCCGGACGATATCCTATGGTGGATTGATGATCCGGTCACAGGACATGCTCGACTCAAAATCTCGAATAAGACGATCTTCCCAGCAAGCCAAACCACTGTGGTTCTCCCATCAGATCGGATGCCTCCGTGTTTGAGGGAGGTAACATCCCAAAAAAACAATTGGATTCTCCCTGAGATCTTTGGGTCTGGCTATCAGCTGATAAATAAATAATCATCAGACCTATTAACCGATGCATCCTCGAGAAGATCATGGCATTGATCTTCTGCATGAACTTGGCTGAGCCATGGTCCTTCCATCTGCATTCGTCATACGGCTCTGAGAAACTCTTGCCGTTGCCGCCCCGATAATTTGAGTTCGATATCCATCAATCGTCGCTTACATAATAATGGTCTTAAATCTCAATTACAAATGTACACCTATTTAGGACAATTATGATATCACGAAAAGCCCAAACCCGTCCGAGCATAGCTCTCTGACTAGAAATGGCGAGGTCTCTGCTTGGAGATGGTTGATGATTGTTGCCACCAAATTGCTTAACAAAGTGAAGAGCGTCGCTTTTCCACCATCCATTCCCCCTCTCTATTCCTGACTCGCGCAGCGCCAACGTGTGACTGGGAGCGAGGCTTCCACCGAGAGAGGCAGGGAACGTCTCCTTCCAATGACGGTGAATCCGGGTTCCGATCATAAATCGGGGAACCGTTAAGCTGCGGAGAAGAAGGCTCGTGTGCCACATCTTCAGACCTATTCCAGAGGCGCTAGTTGATCGTAATGAGTCACACGGGCGTGGACGATGTGGTCAGCTCCAAAGGATGTTTAGTTGTTCCACCCATCAACTGGAAAGATAGAAGAGATAAAGGAAAACCGTTAACGACGAGCCGGAACTGCGAGAATCCGTTCATCGTCACGCGTTATCAGCACGGGCGAATCGTACGGCTAGCTCCGATAATCTCTTATCCGTCGCCAGCCGTCTGAGGAGAGGCGCCCCTCCTGGCTCGAGCTGGCGGAACGCCATGCCTTCCTGCCATCCTGTCGTCGTCATCGTTATCGTCGACGGAGTTAACGCTCGGTTTGACCTTTTTGAAGTCCTTTGTGGAACCGTTGAATCGTGGAAGCACGTACGGCGCTTCTCACGAGCGGTGCTCCCTTTTTCGATCCCCAGGCCGCTGAACGAGCGGACAGGCGCCCCTACGGAGCCAGATAGACCAACGAACGATCGGGAGCAACGAGCCAAGCCGCCGACACCGACCCTTCAAGACACCCGGACCTTCGGGCGAACAGGCGGATACCATGTCATTCCGGAAGATGCAGCCCTGTCCGATGATAACTGATAGGTAAGTCGTCCTGGTCAGCTGCGCTGCCAACCTCCGTGTTCAGGGTCCTCCGATACAATACCTCGAGGTTCAGCTTCCATGAGCTTCGCGGCTCCGGATATATTGCATTTATTGCTCCGTCGAGCCTCATGCGGGGCTCTCGTGGAGTGAAACTCCACTGGATCCGCTTTCGCAGAATATGTAGCTCATTTCCCGATTCCAGCGCCAAAACCAGACCTGATATCATGTCCCGGGAGATCCCGCAAGAGTGGTGGCGGCAAGGACAGTCGACCCACTGGACGGCAACAAGAGATTGAAGCATTTGGGCCAGAAGGGCCTCCGGCTACTTTGTCAGTGACGACGACGACGACGAGGACAGCGTTGGTGGAGGCTGCATTGTGAGCTGCTGCGGCGGCGGCGGCCGATGTTCGTCCCTTTCAGCGCAAATAGCCATTACAGTCTATGACGCGGAAAGACGAAGAAAGACCTCACCGAGCGCACCCCTGAAGCTGCTGTGCAAAGAACAGGGGATTTGCTATGGATTGCATGGATCCGCCACAGTGTGGCCGTCCCGACGACGGCAGCCACGGCGCTGCCCTGGCCGCCGAGGGCGACGACTAAAAGGCTTACCCGTTGAGTGACCGAAGTAGTTGCTTGTGAGGCATCCGATGAGAGGATTGGCCCGCTTTGACCCCCATTCGATGCTAAGGGCTGATGCTGCTGGAGACCACTGGTCGCGGATAGCAGGGGCGTATGCACGTCCTCCAGAAGGTCGATGTCGCACTTCCCTCCTAAGGCCAAATGCTGCGGCAGAGGTGGCATCGGTGGCCGATCAAAAACCACGTCTGGACTCGGCAAAAGTGTCGTTGCTTCCATGCCTTGCCCCAGGTGACTCCCGACTGGGCTCATGGCCATCAGACCCTGTTGTCGGATGCGAACGGGACATAATCGATGGTTGTTCCTCGGCAGAGACAACTCAGCGTATCGTAACAAAGCCGAATCCATCTGCAGCAAGGAAGGAGAAACATTAGCTCTCGAGAGAACTCCCACAGAGGATCGCTGTGAATCCCTTCAATTAAGATCTAATCCGCCGTATTCCCCGTGGGGAGCGTCGATGGCTGTCATTCTTTTTTCCACTCATCACGGGAGGCATGCATTTCATGGCTCAAGACCGGGAGAGTTCAGTTGAAGGACCAAGGTTCGAAGCGGGACGAATCGGAGGAATTTCTTTGGATTTTACCTTGTTTCCGATCGGTTGACGCATCTGTCTCGGATTCCGTAAAGTTGCCATGTGCATCGACATATCTTTCTGGGAGATCATGAAGCCTCCGTCATGATTCCTGCCCAGAGTCATGGTCGCGGGCTCTGGAGGATACGTCAGAACGGTGCAGTTACCGCTCTGTCTTGGTGACGTCGAGCAAGCACTGCCGTCGAGGGAAATGTCGTTCCCTCCTAAGCAAGAGCTAATTGTTGTTTCCACCGCCACCTGGTGCGCGTAATCTGAAACGCCATTATGAGAACAACATGATGACACGACGAACACGGCCATGAGGGAACATATTGAAATTTGCTTACGAGGCGTAAAGCTCGTTTCAGCCATGTCGTAGAGCGAAATAATATTTTTAACGAGCCGAAACACCCGCGGTTCCGAAGGACATTCTCAGCGGGCAACGTGCCCAGAATTCTCGAGGTGGCCCCACTCGTGTCCCGGATCCGCAGAACTCTCCGGAGGTTCGAATCGGGATTCCAATAAGCCCGCTGTTGATGTCGGACAGAGAGGTTCGCCGAATTTCGAGGCGTTCTCCCCTCACTCAATCGCGACCGAATTTGTGGATCCTCCGATAGAGCTATTCCCATTCTCGTGGAAGCGGCGTTTTCCTGACTGAGACGGCACCCCGTGTCGCAGTCGTAAGCTCGTGTCAGTCACCCTCTTCTACAGGAGCGAGCTTTCGGTTAGACTCTCACCTTGTGAATTGTCCGGCGTAAAAGATGTGATGAGCTTTTTATTTTGAACTTGAGTCAGCTGGATTTCCTCCGGAGGTGCTTTCAAACTCCGACAAGACCCGCTGTTCCTGCAGAAGTGATAACGAAAATTGAACGCACACGACTACTGACTCGTCTGATACGCTCAGGACGCCTATTCTTTACTACGTCTCACGAGCCCCCGAAGGATACTCCGAACTGCCAAACTAGGACCCGGCTGTTGTTCGGGCCAAATCTGAAGCACTTTCCGCCGCGTTCCCCGACCGGTGTCGCTAGATAGCTAGGGTCCCCACTTTTGTCAACGGCCGCGAGGAAAGTTGTTCCGACCGGAGTCCCTGTTCGGGTACGGTGAAAAGGGACTCGGGAGAAGAATAACATCGACAAGAACGACACTGCCAATTTAGGTTACATTACTGCGTTAGACATGTTCGTCCGCGAGACGCAGACGGGTAGCCCGCCGCCTCGTTCGTCGAAGGGCTCCGAACAAAAGATTGTTATCCACCGCCTTTCGCTTGTATCAGACAGGCACCAGACACTGTTCAATCGTTCATCCATACGATGTTGCTCGATACTCACTTTTCATTGAGATTCGTTTGAAGAGGGTTCCCTGTGATCACAAAAAGAAGAGTACGTGTTAGTCGCTCCCGGATAACAAGTTTCCACCCAACCCTGAATGGGGGGAGGGGGCTGACACATGTCTGACTTGATTTCGATCCTTGTCGGGGGCGATTCATGCGCTCTCACCTTTCTCTTGCGAGTCACGACGTTTGAGGATCAGAATTACGCTGACCACTACCACGACTAATATACTAACTCCTGCGATCAACGAAAGTAGAGCAGGACTCAGACTGGCCAGTAGATCCGAATCCGATAGATCGTCGTCGGGTGCAGCCGTCGTGCTCGAAACGAACGATATGCTGAAAAGCAGAAAACGTACACTCTCGACATCGCCCCGGGAATTAGACTGCGCGTCAGGATTCTCCGGTATTCGGCAGCCGGCAGAAACATCGGCCGCTGATCGAACGCAACTATTCACATCTGTCCCGTTTCATCGCTCCGAGAGCGTGAGCATCGACGGATGCTCAGACATCTTCCAAGATGCAGTAGAGCTACTTAATTGTCTTCGGACACCAATTGAAGGCGTTTCAATGAAGTTGAGGGGCGGAAACTGTTCCAGCTTTCCAGCTTCAGGCATCCGATTCAGAGCTCAAGTGGGACCGATAGAAATTGGAAGACTCGCACACGAATGGAGCCTCCGACTTGCCAAATATTCCGGGATCTGACGTTTGAGAAGGGCTCGCGGTGTACGGCGGTAGATTGAGTGGCTCGGAACTCGGTAGAAAAACATCACGCACACGGCGCCAAGCCCCAAAACATCGAGCGGAGAAAGCATTCCACGGAAAGTTTGCGTACTTCGAGTGTACGAGCGATGCCATGGATCGCTCGGGTTGTGGGAAGGAGTTTCAATGTGGGAACGATTTCTTATCCTTCCAATCGGAATGAGTTGGATTGAAATCGACTCTATTAAGTTAGTTGACCCCGAGCTTAGCTGCGGACGATTCCGCATCGTTTACCGGGAATCGCCCACAATGACTGCCCCCGGGAGCGAAATGAAGAATAGAGGGAGATTGAGTGTCTCTCACAATCAAAAAGCAGATGGCTGCCTCCGCAGATGCTAGGGCAACAGCGGATTGGAGACCGACGTAAGGCAGCTCACGTCGGCTCGTCGTATTGCAATGCGAGGGACACGGCTAGCAGGATCACTGGTCGTTGCCGCGGAGGCCGTAGAGGAGAGAGCGGGAAGAAAAACGACGTTTGGTGGGTTTGTCGGAAAGCTCCATCACTTCCGAAATTAGGGGTATGAGGATTCCCGCCGGGCACGACGGAACGCGTTATTTTACGTTTCCCTCCCGAGGACCGATACGATTAAGTCGAGGAATTGATTTTTCCAACCTTCGGCGATCGATGTAATAAATCGAAATGATCTCTCCGCTGGAGCGGAATCAAATCCGAGAAAGGATTCGCGCTCGGTCGTCTGGATCGAGTGTCTGTCGCTCGTTAGGAAGGAAGATGGGATGAGTCATACTCACGTATTGGATCGTCCTTTCGAGTTGGCCGCGTAGAGCAGAAATATATATCTGGTACTCGGAGCCAGGTTGGTGACTTGGAATACGGGCGCGTCCTGCTGCGTTAGATTGAACTCGAGATTCTCGTATGCAAAGTTGAAAATCTCAAGGTGGAAGGATTGCCGCAGGCCACCCGGCTCTCCGGGTTTGCATTCAACTAGGATCGTGTTGTAAGTCTCGTTCGCCGCTTGACACTGTCGCAGTTGTCCGGGCGGGCCTGCGTGATAGAGCAAATAGATACCAGTCAGCATCGCAGTTCGACTCACTCTCGCCGCCGTCCTTAACCTCTCCGGGCACTCCTGCCGTTCTCCGCTCACTTTTCTATTTTTGCTTTCTTCCGCCCTCCTTCAGCCCCCTCCGCTGACTCTCAGATCTTGTTCCGCTCCCCTTTCATCGAACCCCCTCCTCTTCGGCTCTCTCTCCCAGGATTCTCTCCCTCTCCCCCAGTTCCCTCGAAAAGTTCCTGCATCCCTCACCCCTCTTATTCGGTCTCTCCGTTCCTCTGCTGAGGAACCATACACCAGCGTTTAGGACTTTTCATCTCGGGGACTTGGAATGAAAATTCTCAGCGCAGGAATTCGGCGTTTCCCTCCCACGACTTCCCCCGAGGTCTCGTTCTTGTACTCACTTGCGGGAACGACGTGGTATGCGCAGGGCTCCTTCTGAGTACCGATTTGATTGCTGGCCCAGCAGTACAACGTTCCGTAGGAATTTGCGTATCTCGGTTTGTAGGTGACGACTGATCTGGTTCCATTAAAATTGAAAGTCTTCACATCAAACAGTTCGACAGAATTGTTGAGCGCCCACTTGAAGTCGGTCGGAGGTGGGTCGGATTCCACCTGAAACAGCACGGAGGAAATCAATTGCCAGGAGCTCGGACGGAAGAGCAAGGAGCCGTTGAGAATCGTGAAACTAATTCATTTGGATTGCGAGGGATCGAAGACCTCGGCCGAAAAACTCCGTCCGACGTCACGGTGTCGACACGTGCGACGCAAGGAATCGATCGCGTACGATTTCTGTGCCTTCGAGGTGTTTGACGTTCTCCGAAATGAAACTGTGTTGCGGTCCCCGATACAGTGTCGACACACACTCCCAATAGCAAATGACCAATCGAGCGCCGGACACAGCCCACAGGACCAATTGATACATAAACATGAGTCCGAGTCGATATATGTTTGTTTGTTAGTTCGTCTGTTTGTTTGTGACCCTCTGAGGGTGAGAGGGCCGCCTGTGGCCTGCATACAGTCGGTACACAATGACTTACGTGACATGGGATCTCAGCATCTTCGTCACGGGCCACTCCATAAACGAGGTTCTGCTTCTTCCGGCACACGGGAGCGTAGTGGACACGTAGGAGTATTTTATCACTCTCGGCTTCGCCTTCGGAATTCGAAGCCACGCATTGGTAATGTCCGCGGCTTTCCCGTTTGACCTTCTGAAGGACCAGCGACTGATTTGTGATGATGATTCCTGAAAAATCGCGGAATCCCTCAGCAAACCCAAATACTTCCTGTCGGATCAATCCGGAACGATTTGCCGTAGAAAGCTCCGATAAAAATCCACGGTACGGAGAGAACTGTCACCCGAAATACATTTGGAAGCGGATTCAGTGAATACCCCCGAGAATCGCGAAGACATTGATTGTGTTCATTTTATTTTGAGCCAGAGATATGGCTGTCGACGGACATAAATCAGACGTATCGATCAGGGAGGCAAACAGAGTTCGCTGGAACTCATTGGTTCCGTTGATTTTTGACGGCAGAAACCTTCAGTCAGTTCATTCGAAGCGCTCGATATGAACTCGCGGAATCGCAAACCGGAATCTCTACTCACCTTGGTGTTTGTCCGGGTAAAGTAGCTGCCCTTCAAACTTCCATCCAATTTCAGTCACCGGTGGGTTGGCTTTGATCATGCACTCGAAGTAAACATCGCCTCCCTCGCGAATAGATGGGTGTTTCATGTTGGCTCCGATGGAAACGTCAAGCTGAGGAACGTCTGGAGAAACGAAGCGAAAAAAAGACGCCAGGACAAGGCAGATGTTAGTTATCTATCGCAGAATTGCTACCCTTGTCGCAGCGAGGTCTCCCGGGCCGCTCGAGTCGAAAACAGAAAGCTTCCACTATGTGGCTCTTTGACAGTTGACTCTTTGCAAAGTTATTGCCGAGCAAGGACAGTCAGTCGAGCAGGCAAGGAGAAAAAGGTGCCATTCGCACAACAGGCCTTCTTGATGGCCCTCGGCAAGCGCCTGCTCTGTGAGATGACTTTATCCTGAAAGTTTGACAATGCCCTACTCACGGCGGAAAAAAAGTGACCCAAGCGGGCAACCCGAGGGTGAACGACCGAGCGAACGACCCAAGAGCGATCGGTCGAGTTGTTGTTGGTCGTCGGGACCGCTGATGCGGAACCGCTCGACCACTATTCTAATTGCATTCTTGATTTTCTAGGAAACAACGGTCGGTAGGAGCAGAAAGCATTCGCCCGACTCGAGTGCCGCCTTGTGCTGCTCTCTGACCCAAATTCCTGTTTGCACGCTCGTATCCATATCATCTACGTATGGATTCACTCACAGTGAATATTCAGCGTCCATCCGTCCTCGAGGCCCGAATCCGACAGTAGCGGGTTGTCTGCTCGACACGACAGGAATTTCCCGTTATCGTGGATGCTCGGCAAAAACGCCACTGTATTCGATGTGTAGTTATCACCTAGAGCATAGAGGTCCCGGGTGAATGGAGGGGCTCGGATTGAGCTTGCACTCGGACAGGCAATCGATTCTAACTCTTTCATCAAACGAAATGATGGGGTCGCTAGCCGAGAAAAAAATAGGTAGTGAGTCAACAGAATCAAACGATCGAAGTGATTCGACAGGATCAATCGGCCGATTCGGCGAGGAATCGTTCCGGAACCTTCGGTCTTAAGTTGAAGTTCGACTGATCGCGTGCCGAGGTGATCTGTCCGGCACGCCTAGCCTCGAGCACACCGTAATTTGTACGGAGCTCCGTCGCGATGCGAGAATGAGGTGTCATACGCTCAGCCTCCGAGTTACGTAATTCCCCTGTTTGACCCCAGCCGTGAATCTTACCGTGAGATACGTTGTCACGAAGTATATTGAGTCTTTTGCGACCAATCCACCACGTGAGTTGAGGTGCTGGTCTCCCCCCTGTTGAGCGACAGGTAACTTCGGTCTCTTGGCCGGCCGACAGCGGTCTTTTCATCGAAGTTATTCGTACATCCAATGGACGAACTGCGGAAGAGAAATTAACGCTCGTTACGCAAGCTGTGGACCTTCGCTCCTTTCCATTCCAAGCCCTTTCTGACTAAGCTAGTTCATCCATTCCGTGGTTTCGCTTGCTCCTCCATCTTTTTTCCCCGACGCTCCGTACAACAGGATGAACTGAATGATTGCGGTGGCCATTCATGCGAACACCCTTCGGACTAAATCATGCTTTATTATGCCTACCGCGCGGCCGCCGTTACTCTTATGGACGGCGGGAACGAGGCGAATAACTCCCGAGGTTGGTTGGTCGGTCGGCTGCCCGGGCGGTACGTCCCTCCGTACAAACGAGCTTTCGGACTAGAGCAGCCGCCGCGCCGTAGGAATACCGGCTTTGTTCAACTGTTGGATATGATGATGACTTTGCTCGATGCCACTGTCTGAGGCAGCAACAGCAGCAGCCTCACCGCTGGTCGGAGAGGTAATGCGCTGTGCGTTTCATTTAGGTTGCGGCGGCCGAGGACACGCTCGCCACAGCTAACAATCTGCTGGCGGTCGAGTCGCCAGTCGACCGTTATGCTAAAGAGCGCATCTTCATCTTCGCTCACTGCTTCATCCAGTGCGGTGGTCGTCTGCCGTTGCGGGGGCCAGACGAACCGACAACCGACAACTCTACGGAGGTTTCGTTGCCAGTCGCTGAAGTTTCTGCACGTCGCACCGGCGGCATTTCTCGCCGGTTGCACGAGCAGTCTATATGCCCTGGAGTAGTATGTTGACTGTAAACGCGGTCGTTGTTATTGTTATACGCGGGCCGCGGCAGAAATGTTGGAAGCAATCAGGAGCTTACACAACATCGCATTCACAGAATAGACGAAGCCACATACATACAAACATACAATGCCTTCGGAAGCCGTGAGCCAGCCGACTCGGTCCCGCTCGCTCCGAGCGAGAGAGTCGAACCGTGCGGGAAACCATGTAAGCGTTCAAATGAGCCGAGCTCAGCCGTTGAGCCTATCGCGGTTCTGAGCCGCTACGGCGACACGGACCATCCAACGCTTCGGCATCACGTAACGCCCTGACGACCTTCATAAGGACGAAGTAACCCGCCGCGGACTGATAACATCATCATAAGCGTACAGCGCACTCCGGTACCTCCGTTGTTGATAAACCGGAGCCTTTGCCGCCGCCGCCGTGAATCAATTGCGAGAAACTCTGACCGTCGCCTCAATCGCCACACCGGTCAGTCCTTGCCTCAGCGCCTATGCTCCGAGCACCGGGACGAAAAGGCCAGGGAGGTTCCGGGGTCTAAACTCTCGGGGAAAAAATTCCTTGAACCGCCGATGTGGACGATCCGGCGAGTCTCTGAGTTTCTTCTTTGATGTGCTCCTCCGCAAATATGTACTCCGTCTCCTGTCATTCCTGTCTGTTTGTCTCCGCATCATCGAGTCCGGATGTTTTGACGACCGTCGTGCCATGACTTGAAACTACACGGGCTGGAGGAGCCGCTATCGTCGTCGCCGGAGACAAACTTTTTCTTCGAGGTGGGCTATGTACGTATGTACATACGTGCCGCGATGCCGCTCCGAAGTGACGCTATCACTGTTCTTCGATGCCGTTCCTTGCTTGGATCCAACAGGCTTGCTCAGATTCGCGCTGGGAGGTCCGTGTCCTGCGCCCAGCAAGCCCATTCGCTTCCTTCGCTATCGATCGGCCGGTCTGTCTTGAGCTGATTCATTAAATGACGGTTAACGCTGTCGAAGTTTCCGCTTGATCGAGCTATTCCCGGCTGACTTGACTCCGATTCCTTCTCGAACACCGCGATTTCCGAGGAGGCACCTTCGACGGTGATCGGGAGAGCGGCTCCGCGAGGCTGCGACCTCAGTCAGCATCAACATACGAGTTCACTTATCCCGAAAGCCCAAGTTTTCAGCGTTGGATCTGGATGTGTTCCCGAACATCACGAATCCCTTGAACGCGATGCATCGCCTGCTTTGACGAATGGGATGTCTTCAACATCTGTCGAATAAACTTCGCCTGCAGGTGGACTGGAGCACTCGACCCGTGGGAGTCCCAGAGGGGATCCGTCGTGGACCTGATCGTCGGCTCCGAGAGAAGCATGTTCGCAGTTTTTGGTCCGAAATAAGAGGGAGTTCCGTTCTTTTTTCAGTGGGACAGAGATTCTGCGTACCTACAGCCAGTCCCGGCTGCCCCAGAAAATTCGCATCCCCGTCGGCGCCCGCGATGCGAGAACAGGGATAATAATGTTGTCCTTGAGAGCATCGAAACCCTAATCTTGACGGACGACGATGATCGGGGACTTAAAGACGACCGATCCGAAGTTGTCCCGGGCAAGGATTATGGCGGACAAACTCAAACTTGTGTTCATGACCTTGCTGACACGAGAAAATACCGAAGAATCGAAACGGCTCGGGAACTCCCCGCCTCAAACTCCGAAGACTAACTTCTCGGAACGACTTCATTCACGAAGTATGTCCCGAGTCTGAATCTATTGTACTCGTTCCGTTCGTCTGTTGGTCCTGATGTCACTCTCTCTGTCTCATGGGCACCAGCGCATCTCTTATAGAAATCGTGCCGTGGGATCGAAATCTCAAACCATTTCCAAAGAACTCCGACTCACGAATAGCGCTTCTTAGAGATAAATAAAATACTTTTGAGGAAGCGTCTAGATTGGGGGTTCCCATTGATATACAGCAGAGCTGGCTGGCGTAAGTTCATTCGGTCCGAAAAATCCGTCCACATCGCCGTCTCCCTCCTTTCACGTTCATCTCCCTAAGGGCGGTGGGTGTTAATGAGATTCTATCAAGTGATTCTCCTGCCGCGCCGTGGGGGCCAGCGAGTTGCGACCAATCCACCACTTCCTCTGGATTTTCTAGTTGATCGGAGAGACTTCCAGAAAGATTCTAGTATGGGCTGAATCGTGCCGATCGGGGAACGGTCGTAGCGCGGAGGGATGCTTCTCTCCGGCTCCGACTCCTCCGAATGGCGAGGCCGCGCGGCGCCTGAGACAGATCTGACTGTGAGAAGCCGCCCGGAATTCCGTCGAGGCTTCCGCGACGATTCTTTGTTCTTCAAAATCGACGCCCTCTCTGCTCTGTGCTTTCGGAAGTCGAGGCCGCTTTTCTGCTTGCTGCCGGAAAGATTCAAAGGGAAAAGGGAAATTTGTTTTTTCCGTTTCGAGGGTGAGGCCGGAGACGGACAGAGAGAAACGCTCGGGGCTAAGCGGGATGCCCGAAGCTCCTCCCCCCTTGCCCAAGAGGCACTCCTTGAATATGAGCTCGAGTCGATCGGCGGACGACGATGCGGTGTCCAACATCCCCGAGGGGCATCCATGGTCCGAGACTCGTCGCGCAATTCCCGCATTCGCAAGTTCGTGGAGATGTCAAAGGGCACGAGCGGAAATGTTTGACAAGAGACGGGCTAGCGAACAAAGGAACTCAGTCAGGTCGTCATCACATCGGATCGCACCCCTTTGTATATCTCAAGTTTTCGCAGTCCATCAAGGGAGTAAGTATCGAGAAGAGAGGAACGTCACTTTTCGTCGTATCACTATGTTTGGCTCCGGGAAGCATTAGCGATGAGACTCCGGCGTCAAAAGTCGCGAAGTCAAGAAAGTTTCAAGGGACGAGGCGGCAGCGCTGAGTACCTTACATACTCCACTCGACTCGAGACTCCACGCGTCCTCTCGTCTCTCATGCACAGGGAAAAACGGGAATCTCTCGGATTCGGCTCCTCTGCATACTATCGATCTGCATCGAGCTGGCCCATTTGCGATGTTGAGAAATCTGTTTCCAGTTCGGCATATCCCCGTGCCGGCCATAAAAACTTTCTACTGACTGAGGTCCGTGCCATAACCACTCCAGTGATTGCACGGTCCCTAGGTGATCTATGAACCCACTTATGGGAGAGGGTCACGGTCGGCGAACCGGAGAGACTCGACCAGTCCTTTCCGTGGAATTACGATACTGAATTCAGGTACAAGGCATACTCACGATTCATATTTAGGGTGACGCTAGCGGTCCGTTGCGTGTTTGCGTTCGAGATGTTCGTGTTCTCCGCACGGCACGTCAATGTCGTCAGCAGATCGTGTCGCTGAAGACGGCTGATTATCAACTCGTTGGACACGAGCCTCTCGTCATGGATTTTGTCCAATTTGTCGATCAGTTTTTCTCCTCGCCACCACGTGACCTGAGGCCGGGGTTTGGCTGCAATAGACAAGACGAGCAATGAGGTCAGTTGGACGCATAGACGGACGAACGGTCGAGCAGAGAGTTCGCCGTAGTGATCATCATCATATTTCGCCTCCATCTTTGTCCGCCCCAATCATCCCGAGTGCGAATGACAGAAGACGACAAAGTTGACAGGACGAGGACGTCAAAGAGGACGAAGAAAGGGGAAATCAGGCAGGCTATGTGCACAATGACGCAGCGCCCGCGGAAGCGAGCGCCGAGTGACTTGCGAGCCATGGGACGACAGCCACGCTAACAACAACTTTATTTCTTTCTTTTTTGCTTCACTGACTAAGACGACCCCGTCGAATTCCTGCTTCTGTCCGACCGATCCTAGTCAGCGGGTTGGAGGTCACTTGGTTTCGCATATTCCTAGATAGTTTTCTACGGGCCCGAAATCACGGATCCCGTCACCGGTCGGACAAGCACTAAGATTGGTCTCGCTGATTCTAGGGGGTCGATAGAAAAATCGATCAGCACATTCGATCCCAGAGAACAGAGAACGCTTCGGAATAGGGAGAATTCTCGGAGATATCCGGCAAGCCATACATCTCCGGCAAGAAAAGCGGCGAGGACATGATCATCAGGTCGAACAGATGCCGAAATATCGAGCTACTCCTCCGATTTCCCGCTTCGACCGATGGCCATCGGGGGAAGGGTTCGCCTCGCTCACTAATTGGGCGCGACCTCAGCGATTGCGGGTCTCCAAAGGAGAGAGGATAGGGAACTTAAGTACGGGCTGCAACGTATTATACTGGTTGGAAGAGATGGTGATGGGACGTTATTCAATCGATGATGGGATGACTCGGGAATTCTGACAGGAATAAGGAGAGCACACGTTTCCAGAGGGGCTCTGATGTTCCAATCGATCCAGAACATAAGGAATCCTCAACTTTCGCTCTCAACTTCGACCCGCTGTGCGCACCGCGTTCGACGTGTTTTAGTTGTGCCATCACGAATGAATGCACACGAGGCACTGGGTGGGGAAGTTTGCACAGATAAATACTCACGAGGTAGGCGCGACCCAGTCATGAATATATTCAGAGTAGCGTAATAATGAGTGTCGATCGGCTGCACAGTATTGAATGCTATTCGGCGCATTGAATAGCGCCGACTTGATGATGTGTGAAAAACGACCTAATTGCATGAGCGATCGGATCAAAGACAGACTGCTGGCAGGCGTGTTGTCGCATGCGGGAAAAAACCGCCGCAGAAATGGAAGGAGCAGTCTCCTGCCCGAGGAAAACTCCTCGATGAATATTTCGCTCCTTCTCGATCGGATACTCGCTAGAATTATTCTGCATGGCGTCGGCCAACCCTGGCAGAGATTTGGCGTGGGGTTCTCACCCGCCGGGAATCTATAGGATGGACTCAAGGCTCCCGGGACGTTTTTCGAGAGAAATAAGAATCCTTCCGACCCTGGAACGCTGGACTCGGGGGATCGTCGCGATCGAAGACAAAAAGTACTCGGGGAAGTCGTGGGACGTGAAGCCGACACGGACGTGGGAAACGTAGTCGGGCATCCTGGCACGCCCTCTGGTGATGGCACGGGGGAGTCATCAATACAGGCAATGTACCTCCATCCTTCTGTATTTTCGCCGCTTGCCATTCTGATCGATGCCCCTCAAGATTTCTCCTTCCTAGCAGCAGCAGCAGTGACGACGCGACGCCGACGTTCCTGTGCTTCCGTTGGCTGTGAGAGCCTTCAATCATTCAATCTAGCGACGAATCCACGCTCGACACAAAGGAAAAGACGAGGGAAGGAAACGATTCACGTCGGCGTCGGAGCGAAGCGAGCGAGAGGAAAGAACCCAAACAGCTCCCATGCAGGAGTCCGGCTCCGAGCGAATGCGAGCCAAGTTATATTCGACCATCAGGTATTTATTTTCGGCGTTTTTCCTCCCAACTTTTCCCGACTATCCCAGGATCTCTCACGCTGTTGGAACGGGGCGGGAATTACCGAGTGCCTGAACTTACCATCGGTGGCTTCGCAAATGAGGACGAGGCGCGATCCCTCGTCATACGGCCCGATGACGCCGCTCAAAACTTTTCCTTCGGGGTTTCGAATACGGACGTCTCTCGCAGGTACTGTGGGCGGGAAAGATACACGAGTGAGTGAGTCAGTCTCTTCGATCGCGACACAATGGCTCGTGTTGTCGCGCGGGGACGTTGTGTCTTCACTTACCGACAACTTCGAGCTTGATGATTCTATTCTGTGTTCGTTGTCTGCTGTAGTCTACTCTGCACCGATACTCTCCGACATCGGATTCCAGGACGGGCTCGAGTTTGAGATAGGGTGGCCGTGCCATAACATCGAAGTACGCTCGATGTATGTATTCGGCACTGGGGAACGGCCGCGCCTGGTGCAACGGGAGGTCCCGCGAGTCCAACGAATAGATGGGAATGCCCCGCGAGTCTCCGTGATACCAGAGGATCAGTGAGATCGCATCGTTCTCTTGCGGGATCTCGATGTCGCAAGGCAGATCCGCCCGACCTCCCATGACCGCCCGCACGGTGACGATTTCTGAAAGGAGAAAATCGGAAATCTTATTCCTGTCCTGACTAATGCGTCCACCGTCCTGCATCCTCGAAACCGAAACGGGCGTTGACGTGGTCTTGGCAGCGAAAGCACCGAATCATCGGGCTCCAATCATTACGACCCATGTTTTCGGCGCTTCCGACGGGTCGACTATTGGATTCGAAAGAGCGAGCAGCAAGAATCGATGAACGATGGAGGGTTTTGATTGACGGATCAAGATCGACAAAAGCCGCGTTCGGTGTTCGTGGGAGTTCGTTGAATCATCAGCGGCGGTGTGCAATGAAGCTTCTTGTTGCGTCAATATTGGGGAATCGTTATCGTAATGGTTCTTTTGTGTCGTTCGAGCTTCCCCTTTGCCGATTCATCCATCTCCGTATCCCCGAAGCGCTATCGCGCCGTCTGTCTATTCAATGTGGAGACGTCGAACAGCTCCGACGCGACGTTCCCCCTCGCTCCCTCGCGTCGCCCCCTTTGCTTGCCCCTTTTTCCGGACTCGCTCCCTCCCGCATATGTAGCTCTGGAGCGACCTGAATCCCAGACGGATTTCCAGTCACGTGGCGCTGTCCTGGGCTCGATTCCCGTCGCGTTCGATGCATCACCAGTTCGTTGCTGATTCTACAAACCCGTTCCCAAGGCAGTGAGATCCGAATTCCCTCCTCGTATGCATTCGCTCATTCTTCCACCGATGCCAGAACCCCGGACTCGAGCTCTTCTCGGTGAAAGGAGCTCTCCGGGAAATTGAATGCATGGGGAATCTGTCCTGCTCACGTGTTCGTCGCCCCTCCCCCTCCGTCCCCCTCCGAGCTATCGAAACGACTTAGCAGAACATTACCCTAGTGTCTGCTATACCAATCAGTCAGCTGTCTCTGACAAACGATAATCCGGATGATTATGTGTTTGTGATTGATCACGTGGCCCCGCTCCTCTCCTCCGAGTACAACAGAAAGGCAACGTGCCGGTAATCGGCCGGATTCAGCGGATCCGACTTCTTTTCACGAGACAGACTCTGTTGCTGAACTCGATTGTCGCGGCTCTCGACAGCTAAAATTACTCCTTCCTGCCACGGTCGCCATTGTCGGCTTCGAGCCCCGGCAACAGTGTGTCGACACTGTTGGGGGAGACCGCCGCATAAATCGTTCGGCTCACAGTTGACGAATAATTCAGCCAGGGGTGACTGCTCCCGCGGCAGGCAGCGGCGGCTAGGACCAGGCGCCCGCACAGCGTATCCGATCCGCCCGGCCGAGGTTGGAACATCGGAAAGATAAGCCTCTAGCCCAACGAGGGCCCACTCTTCCACGTCGAGGCGCAAAGATCGAAGTTCCGGGAATGGCCGCCGATAACGACGACAACCTGCTCTGGCCGCCGACAGGCTTTGGCATCGGCGAGCGGTGTTTGCGTCGTTGTCGTAGCATTTGGACCTCTGCTGCAACAAGCAAAGCTGTTCTGACTTCGCCGGTCGGCGTCGGTCGTAGTGAGTTTGTCCTTACGAGCCAGGATGTCGACCGCACCCGCTCTCTGTTGCTCCCGTCGGTCGGATCGCGCAAAAACGCGGATCGTTGTTATAATTGATTTTCGCCTTCCACCTGATGGATGGTCGCGCAAACAAATCCCAGCTCCTTCGAAGGGGGAAAGGGAAGCTTGCCGTCGGCTTTGCATGTCGAATGAGCGCTCATGAGGTGAACGATCGAGTTTGCGGAAAGACGGTCGAAGACCGCTCGACGGGTCATTCCTCACTCGGACACGCTGCTTTCTCACGCGATCCGCGATTCAGAGAACAACAAACGTGCGAAGTCAGGGCGGATGAGCGTCGTCAAAGACCAAGGAGTCTCGCTCATCTCGGTGTCTCCGCAGCGGACGCGTACGGGAAGAAGCTTTTCGGGGTGTCCGGAAGGTTCAGAATCCTTCTCGCTCTGCTCTCCTCCTCTCCATCGCGGTCCTCTGGGTCTGTGACAGGAACTCGGTCGGCCGTTCTTGGGCCTTTGTCGCTGCATACCTACCCAGTCGGGATGGTGAGCTCGCTTGCCATATGGAGCTGATAGCTGCCTTATCGGAATCTACTGCTCGCCGTACAGCGTCGATTCGAGCCTACAGTGGTAGCATGTATGCGCGACTCCCCGATAGATAGATAGATCGATAGATAGATAGACTGAGTGAGTGATAATCATTTTCGTCGATTCTTTCGCGAGAGAGCTCCTTTTTTACATTCAAACAGGCTAGTGTTAGGGGTCGGGAAATTATTTGACGATGGTTGCGGCAAAGGCGGACAAGTGACAAGCTCTCGAGGAGCCTGGGGATAGTAGTCGCCCTAGACTAGATAGCCGCCGGCATGGCTTAACATTGACGGGGGCCGGAGAGCGGGAGGCGTCAGTTTCGTCGCATGTGCGCGATATCTCGCCGCGTGCTCTTCTATCCATGCGTATAATGCGTCGACGGAAGATTTGCATGAGACGAGCGTCGAACAAAGCAGCCGCAGGAAATCTTTGTTTCCACCGCCTGCTTCTGCTTGAACCATATGAGGCAAAAAGGCTCGACGAGCAGACAAACACCCGCACACAAGACGCGAACATGGACCGGCGATTAAAAAATAAACTCGGCGAGAGTAAGCAGCGGAGCCAGAGAGAATTCGCAGCGACTCGGGATGAAGATAATGACTGAGTTAGTGAGAATCGAGGCGCGCTCGACTGCAGTCGCCGGGTATTCTCGGTCAGCTCGTTGTCCTTGATTGCGAGTCGGTTTGCCGGACTACCCCGGAATGGGGAAGGTCGTTAGTGCCAACTTTGTCGCCGTCCTTGTCGACAGACACCCTCTGTTCAGAGCAGCCCGAGAAGAAAAAGTCTCCTCTTCCCCTCCGACTGCTTGCCTCCGCGTCGTTCCTGCTACCGCTACCGGACACCCAATGGAATTGATGCGTACTCCCGGGAACCCCCAGGACAATGCAATCTCCGGGGATGTTCCTCCTGTCTGCACGGCTTAGGGCTCTGCTTGCCCCTTTTTTATGTTTATTCCCCCGCCGAGCCAATCCGTTCTGTTGGGGGATGGAAGAATGTAGAGGCTCATGGCAAGACGCAGAGCGTCCGACTCCGGGAAAGCCGCAACGTTTGGAGAACAAGATGAAGACACAAGAGTCCGGCTCCCCGGCAAAATTGAAACAAAGGGAAAAACCAAAGTTTCCTCGCTTGTTGCATCGTGCCGCAGACGCAGCCACGGCAGTGACGGCTGTTATCTTGGAAACGTCAAGAGTTTTACAGCGTTTTCTCTCCTACACGAACGTGAGCGACGGAAGATAAGATGATGGCCATCATGGTCATGGGATGATATGAGCTTCAGCAGGCTTCCTCTAGGATCAGAGATCCTCCTCTCTCGTGCCGCCTCGTGCCCATTTTCGCGTCAGCTCTTCCCCGTTGGCTGAGCCGAATTGAGGACCGCGTCCTCGTTTCTCGACGACTCTCTGCTGCCAAGCAGTCTCCGCAGTAGCCGCAGAGCGAGCAAAGTAGCAGCTTTTTCCGAAAAAGACTTCCTTTTTCCGTGGAGCAGAAAGACCCGAGGGCTATGAAGAGGACCGTCCTACTCCGAGCCGCGAACTCGGAGATGGCTCGGAGAGAGCTGGAGGGCGAACGTCGACGAGGGAGCGACCGAATCGAATGAGCGCTCGCCTCGAACAAACTTGGATTATACCGTCCCTTACTCAGTCCCACTCAGCGATCTCATAAGTCACTAGCTAGTAGGAACTCGTCTGAACTTCGGTGGAATGGCCAGAATCCCACCCGAGCTCCGTGCGCGTATGACCGAGCTCCCGACACTTGCCTCGGTCTTCAGGTCTCAGCCCGAGCAGCAGCAGCGCCGTCGTCCTGGCCAGTCGTGTAAGACTTCCGTTCGGGAAGAGTTCGACGTCGGGCCCCAATGTCCGATGGCACCGGGGGCCTGGTCTGGATAGCGGTACCAGCTGACCGTGCGGAACTCTTTTTCCTTTGCAATTCCATTAGGAGCAAATGGTCCGTGACGCACCCGGGAAACGGCGGGTGTTCCCAGTTGCTTCCTGCATGTCCTGCATACCGAACAAAGCGACGAAATCTCACTCTTTCCGCGACGACGCGATCGAACGCTCTTTCCGCGAGAACCTGTTTGTCGACTGAACCGCTCGGGGAAGGGGGTTCACTGATAACACAATCTGATTCCTCTTGGCGGCGAACCGCACGTTCGAAACTCGTCCGCAAAATACCGTATCCGGCGCTGGGCTTCACGGCGTGCATTCGGGATGGCCGGCCCCGATACAGGACGCAGGATTAGATTACAGCGGTTCAGCCACAGAATTACTATGATCGGAACGAGTCCTGCAGATATCGATAACAGGGACCTGAGCGGACTCCAGAACGACTCGCATAGGAGGGCATCCCATCGTTTCGCGACGACGAGGTTTACGCGTAGGCGAGCCGTTCGGATGGACGTCGGGGGAACAGAAATGCTGAGCAGCAGGCGGGGTCCAGTGAGGCAGGTGTCGACCATCGAGTGCAGACTTGCTCCGCCACAGAGGTTCCCAGACCGCCGAATCCTCAGACGGAGGAGGCTTCGACGGTCCAAGAGAATGCACTCCAGAGCGCGACGCACATGAGGGCCTCCGCTCAGCGATGCCGGAGAATACGGAATGAGGATCCGGACGAGGAACAAGAAATGACAACGAAGTCGCCCGGAAATACCGCTACATGGATGGGCGCCGCGTCAATGCCGTGGCTTCGGGGGCGAAACTCGTTAGGGTGTAGCGACAAAGCATTCGGCGAAAATCACAAGATTAGCTCCCCGGTTCCACTACGAACGCTGAGACCCTGGAGCAGCAAAGGTCGTGAGGACGTAGGGGAGCTTCTCGCGAACGCGCGACGCAAGAAAGAAGAATCTACTGGGAGCGTCGACAAGGCACGGGAACGATGACGGTGCGTGGGAAGCCGCAGTAGCTTTTTCGCAAACTCCAAAGGAATTCGAGATCGGATATC